GGGGGGACACACAACACAAAAAAACCCTACAGTGATTTACAATACGTCTGCCAACTAATGTATCAGAAGGTCACACTTTTGGGGAAACCCTGCATATTGATCAGTTGCTTTCTCATAATACCATAGGATATGCAGGTGTTTGCAGCCAGCACTCATTCCTCTCTATGATTTTTTGCCTCTGACTTCAGTCAAGAGTCCCCTTTCTAAATCTTTAGTTACTTGGACAACTCCACACGTGAATTAATTGCCATTTTATCAAAGGTAACAAACTGTGACTTAAAATAAATTTACACACAGCACTAAGCTTGAATATCTACTGCTTAGTTACCAGCAGATAGTTACTATATACAACCCTCCACAACAAATCTAGCTTCAATTAATTCATTTTAAATGCATCAAACCAGAACACTTCCATTATATGGCTGCATGATTACGGGGGGGGGGAACCCAACACAGAGCTAACATAAGAGCTATTAACATTAAGACTCACATCTCAGCTTCAAGCAGTAAAACCACCTCATCTCTTTTAAACACTGTCCCCCTTTTTACCACGATCTTCCACTAGAATTTGGGTAAAAGATACGAAGAAACAGGAGTGAAAAAGCCTCCCATTTCACACCTACACACTATATTCTCTCCAGCTGTCTGGAACTCCCGTAACTTCCTTAGTAGAGCTGGGACAGGTCACATCAGGTACAACAATTTGATCACATGAAACAGCTACGTGGATACTAATCGCAACACCGCTCAATGCACAGTCACTGCAAAGAATACCTAGCAGAGATGTGGATGGCTATTACTGAGGAGCGGAGAGTAGTCAACAAGGAAATCACACGGAAGGATTTAGCAGAAACCTTCAAGACTTCAGCTATGGGGACTAAGAGAGCAGCAAGCTCTGCACAGCAGATCACCGGGGCGGACCAGGACATGCAGAGGCCTGGATGAACACTGACACTGTCAGGTGGCTGGCTGTCAGCCGTATTTAAAAAATTGTTAATCCTCCAAAGTAAAAATTACAAAGAAAAAGTATTCAACATTGAATATGAGTTTCAGCTAAAAAAAAAGAAAAAGAAAAAAAAAAAAAGGTAGTTCTAAAAACTTATTAGAAAGCCTGAAACTTTCAAAGGAAGACTCCACTTTTGAAGAGACCTTTTAAAACCAACCACAGCAATACACAAATAAGGCCACCAAAGCCCCTTTACCTTAGTCCTCACGTCACAACCCTGAAACCAGCCAGAAACACCACCTCATTTTTCTGTCACTCCCTATTAAGTAACGCTTTACTGAAAACCGTAAAACCGTTAAGATACCGATTTTGTCTGCCTCTAATCTCAACTTTTTAAGAAAAGGTTCTTGCCCAAGTCGCGGGATCTGTGCGCCATAGAGCCCTCGCTACATCCAAGACGTGTGCGTCACTGGCATCTGAGGGGAAAAAAAACCCAAACCCTGGGGTAAAGTTTATTTCTGCGAGGGAAACCCCAGCCAGGACACGTTCAGTGCTGCACGGCAGCGCCGCGGGGCTGTCACCACACGGCAGACG